TTATAAATAAAAGAGGAGACATTACAGCTGATACCACAGAAATACAAAGGATCATAAGTGACTAATTTAAACAAGTATATGCCAAGAAATTGAATAACTAGAAGAAATGGGTAAATTCCTAGAAACACATGACCTACCTAGACTACATCATGAAGAAAGAAAAAATCTGAAAGACCAATAATGAATAAGGAGATTGAATCAGTAATAAAAAACCTCCCCACCAAAAAAACCCCAGGACCAAATGGCTTCACAGGTGGAAACGTTTAAAGAAAAATTAATGCCAATCCTTCTCAAACTCCTCCAAAAAATTGAAGAGGAGGGAACACTTCCAAACTCATTTTATGTGGCCAGCATTACTCTGATACCAAAGCCAGACAAGGACTCTACAAGAAAAGAAAACTACAGACCAATATCCCTGATAAATACAGATGCAAAAATTCTCAGAAAAATACTAGCAAACTGAATTCAACAGCACATTAAAAGAATCACACACCATGATCAAGTGGGATTCATCCCTGTGATGCAAGGATGGTTCAACATATGCAAATCAATAAATCTGATACGTAACATTTATAGAAAGAAAGATAAAATCATACGATCATCTCAGATGCAGAAAAAGAGTTTGATAAAATTCAGTATCTGTTGATGATAAAAATCAACAAATTGAGTATCAAAAGAACTTATCTCAACATAATAACTGCCACATATGACAAACCCACAGCTAACTCTACCCTCAATAGTGAAAGGTTGAAAGCTTTTCCTCTAAGATTAGGAATAAGACAAGAGTGCCCACTCTCACCACTCCTATTCAACATAGTACTGGAAATCCCAGTCAGAGCAATCAGGCAAGAAAAAGAAATAATGGCATTCAAATCAGAAAAGAAGAAATAAAATTGTCTCTGTTTTCAGATAACGTGATCTTATATATAGAAAATCCTAAAGAAACCACCAAAAAACTGTTAGAACTAATAAATGAATTCAGTAAGGTTACAGGATATAAAATCAACATACTAAAAGCAGTTGTTTTTCTATACACTGACAATGAACTATCTCAAAAAGAAATAAAGAAAACAATCCCATTCACAACAGCATCAAAAGCAATAAATACTTAGGAATAAATTTAACCAAGGTGGTGAAATATCCTTACTCTGAATACAATAAGATATCGATGAAAGAAATTGAAAAAGACACAAATAAATGTAAATATATCCTATGTTCATGGATTGGAAGAATTAATATTGTTAAAATTTTCACACTACTCAAAGCCATCTATAGATTCAATGCAATCCCTATCAAAATTCCAATAGTATTTTTCACAAAGATAGAAAAATAATCCTAAAATTCATGTAGAACTAAAAAAGACCCCAGATAGCCAAACCAATCTTGAGAAAGAACAAGGCTGGAGGTATCACACTTGCTGATTTAAACTATACTATAGAGCTATAGCATATAGTAATCAAAACAGTAGAGTACTGGCATAAAACAAACAAATAGACCAATGGAAACAGAATCAAGAGCCCAGAAATAAACTCACACGTACATAGTCAACTAATATTTGATAAGGAAGCCAAGAATCCTCAAAGGGGAAAAAACCGTCTCTATTTTTTTCCACAGTAAATGGTGTTGGGAAAACTGGTTATCCTATTCAAAAGAATAAAACTGGACCCTTATCTTATACCATACACAAAAATTAACTCAAAATGGATTAAAAACCTAAATTTAAGACCTGACATCATAAAACTCCTGTAAGAAAACATGGGCAAAAACTCTTGCACGTTCATTTTGGCAATGACTTGTTGGCTATGACACCAAAAGCCCAAGCAATGAAGCAAAAATCAACAAGTACGACTACCTCAAACTCAAATGCCCTGCATAGCAAAAGAAATGGTCAACAAAACCAATGGAAAGGCAGAAAATATTTGCTCATCATATATCTGATAAGGGGTTAATATCCACAATATTTAAGGAACTCATACAACTCAATAGTAAGAAAACGAATAACTCCATTAAAACAATGGGCAAAGAATCTGAATAGACATTTTCCCAAAGAAGATATACAAATGGCCAACGGGTACACGAAAAGGTGCTCAACACCACTAAGCATCAGGGAAAATGCAAATCAAAACCACAATGAGAAGTCACCTCACACCTGTTAGGATAGTTATTCTGAAAAAGACAAGAGTTAACAAGTGCTGACAACGGTGTGGAGTAAAAGGAACCCTTGTACACTTGGTGGAAATATAAACTCGTACAGCCTCTATGGAAAACACTATGGAAGTTCCTCAAAAAATTAAAAATAGAACTACCATCTGATCCAGCAATCCCTGTTCCGGGTATATATCCGTAGAAAATAAAATCAATATCTCAAAGAGATATCCACAGCCCCATGTTCATTGCAGAACTTTTTACAATACCCAAGACATGGAAACAACCTAAGTGTTCATTGATAGATGAATGGATGAAGAAAATGTGACATACGTATACAATGAAATATTATTCAGCCATAGAAAGGAGGAAATCCTACCATTTGTGACACCATGGATGAACCTTGAAGGCATTATGCTAAGTGAAATAAGTCAGATGAAGAAGGACAAGTTCTATATGATCTCACTTATATGTGAAATCAAAAAAAAAATGAACTCATAGAAACAGAGAGCAGATTGGTGGTTGCCAGGGGCAGGGAATGTGGGAAACGGTGAAGGTGGTCAAAGGGTGCAAACTTACAGTGATAAGACGAATAAGTTCTGGGGATCTAATGTATGACATGGTGACTACAGTTAACAATACTGCGTTGTATACTTGAATATTGCTAAGAGACTAGATCATAAAAGTTCTCATCACAAAAAAAAAAGGAAGTAACTGTGAGATAATGGATGTGTTAACTAACCTTATTGTGAGTGATCAGTCTGCAATATATACATATATATAATCATCATGTTGTATACCTTAAACTTACACAATGTTATACATCAATTATATCTCAATAAAGCTGAAAAAAAAAAATACTTAAACAAAAGTTACTTTGGCTGCCAGGCAGAGAAAGGATCAGAGGGGCTGCAGGAGTGGACTGGAAAATCTGCTGGGATCTATCACGTGGACCTAAGTGAGTTCTTAGATAAAGGGTGGGATGTTAAGGTAAAAAGACATGGACAAAACCCATATGAGACAACTAGTAATTCATTCATCTCAAATACTACAGTCTGCTCATCTTGCCACAAACAATATCATCAGTCAAAAGAGGGGTGACAGCTAAATGAAAATTTTAGTCACTTGCTAGTGTGTTCCCAAATCTCTGGGTTTGCCTTGCCATTTCTCTCAGATTTGGGAGTGGTTAACCAAACATCCTCAAACGCTTTTTCTATTCTTTTCTATGTTTCAATTCAGGGTTAAAAAAAAAAAAAAGGATCAGGCATGCTTAAAAACAATAGTCTTCTTAAGAAACTTTACTTTAGAGAAAGATCTCTCAAATCCTGTGGAATGTTTCATAAAACAATAGTACTGAAATGTACTTAGAAACTCCCCTATAGAGATATGTAAGTACCAACACATCTAATCCAGTCCTGGGATACTTTTCTCCTATGTGTGTTCTCTCCTCACCGCCACCAGCCCACACACATGGCCTTGGTTGGTGACATCATTGGATGGTCATCAAAAAACATAAGAAAATCAATCAGTATATTACGTATTCTCATATATACAATTAACGTTGTGAGCATGGCTATGAAGGAAAGCCATAATCGTGAAAGAGTTTAGGCTATGAACGTATTTCTTCGTTTCTCTGCAAGTTATTTTACCTGAATATCCATGTCCATGACTGTAATGGATACTCTACTACTCTACTACTGCTCAACATGTAGTAGATAATTGCTAGGTTTTGAATTCACTTTATTCATTAGATCTCTGGCATTTGCAGACAAAGGAAGAGCTGGAGAGAGGAGAGACATGAACCGTCTGCTGGTCCCTTTCTTTCTTCTATACTTTGAACATTATCACACCTGTGATCCTATCACTGTCCTTGCCTAGAACTGGAGTTTCCTCCTTGTTCTGGTTACTTTTCCAAATCATCAGTTTATTTCTCAAGGCCAGTGCAAATCTTAATGACTTCTCTGAAGCCTTCACAAATTAGGCCATCCTAATTCTTCATGCATTCATTCAGTCAGTCTACTAGCAGATGGTTAGGGAGCATTTACTGTATTCATTGGAACATCTAAATCCTTTCCTCAACCTCCAGTGCTCCATCGCTCTCCTTTTGGCTCCTAACTGCCTCATCGACACCAGTCATTTGACTCTAAACTTTGACTTGTCTTGTTGAGTTGATTAACTTTTCAAATACATGTACCATATCTTCACATTTAAGTTGGTGGTTCCTTGATGACATTTCTCAGCCAAAAGATATGAAGTAGGAGTGATTTTTCATAGAGCTATTTTTTAAATTTAGACTCACACTAAGGCAGTTAATGAATGATTCCTTCCCTGTCTTCAGGGCCTGGCCACCCCACTTCAGCTAGCTGCTCTAAACTGGGCCACAATCTCAGATTATCTTGCCAGGTGCCCTCCCTACCCAGCTGGTACAGCCAGAGCAGGCCTGTTCTTCCAGCCTCTCATACCCACTGGGGCCTTGCCCAGACAGAGGAAGTTGGATATATTTTGTTATATTATCTCTTTCTTGGTTTATTTTGGTGAGGAAGATAAGCCCTGGGCTAACATCCATGCCCATCTTCCTTTGCTTTATATGTGGGACCCCTGCCACAGCATGGCTTGATAAGCGATGCATAGGTCTGCACCCGGGATCCAAACCCATGAACCCCAGGCTGCTGAAGCGGAGCATGTTAACTTAACCACTATGCCACTGGGCCAGCCCCTCTTTCCTGTTTTTTTAATGTTAAAATATATTTCTCTTTTAAATGCTTTCAGTGGTAAAAATAAAACAATTGGCAACTCTTTGTTAGATTCTCAAATTTTCTTAAACTTATAGGCTGTAAAATATATGAAATTTTAAAACACCGATATAGTTACAGTATACCTCTCTTCGTCCCAAACAGCTCCTATCAGAGTACCTCATGCACAGAGGAGGTTCACCAAATATCTTTTAACTGGTTTAACAGTTGTTCTATCTGTGAATTGTTCTCATCGGAAATCAAATCCCCACTCTTCACTTCCTTTGTCCTATGTTCTGACAACTTAGTAAGTGATCACAGTGTGTGCTGGGTGATCCCTTAGTGTGAATCAGGGTATTTCCACCACATGCACAAATTCAAATGTACTCAAATTCAAGTACATGCACTCATAAAAAGGATGAGAGAGAGAAAGAGAGAGAGAATTAAATAGTATGAGCATTTCACTTGTCACTTCCACTCACTGAGCATATGCCCCAGAGTGAGCACGAGATGGAAAATGGGACTCTGCCTTTTCCTCTGTTGAGTTCACTTCCCACGCACCTCTCTGAGTGATCATCTTGCTGCAGTTCTGAGTATTCTAGTTTTTAAAGATACCATATAATATGATTCCTAAATTCAATGCAATTACTTCATCTGGTGCTCAACCAAAAAAGAAAAAAACCTATCTGTTCCAAAGCTAGAGGGAAAAATTGGCTGTACTGGACTTACTGAGAGAGTATCAGTTTCCAACTTGGCACCTTCCCTAGGGATTTTCAAGGGCAAGTTTGCCTCTACTCAACCTTTGCTTTACCTGCTGACTCTAAACATTAGCCCCACTTAAGATGCCACTCTAATTGCATGGCACTCCACTCTACTCTGGAAAGACTCCTTCCGACTTTGACATTTAATGTAATTTATGCAAGGTGTTGTCTATTCATAACTGATGTTACAAACATCTAAATTACCTGCCATCATGTTAAGGCTTTCAGAAGCACTATTATAGACAACAAACAAATGCAGAAAGAAAGTCACAAAAAAGGAAAAGCTTTAATACAAAAGTTACATACACACGTGCCCACAGGGGCCTGAAAGGTAAGGAAACAAGTGGAGAATCCTGGACTTAACAGAGTGTGAGGGAAACAGGAGGTCTGGAGAGGTCTGCCGAGGCAGAACAGCAGGGCTTACTCAGCTCCAACCTATTGTTTCAAGGCAGGAATGCGGGCCCAGTGTTGCCAAATATTCTTTTTTTTTTTCCTTCAAAAGAAGCTGAAAATCTGGATTTATATGTGAAAGGCTCCCAAGGAATTTTAAAAATTATAGAGAATCCTCTGGGTCAAGACCACAGGGCCCAACAAACAAGCTCTGTAGGTCTCACTTACAGAGGTGCGTGGGAAGTGAACTCAACAGAGGAAAAGGCAGAGTCCCATTTTCCATCTCGTGCTCACTCTGGGGCATATGCTCAGTGAGTGGAAGTGACAAGTGAAATGCTCATACTATTAAAACATGCTCATCAGAAAGATTGATACAACAAAAATGACCATCCATTTGCAATCTCTGCACTACCATACATGTATCACAAATAAGTAGCTTTTTTAATATAAAAATATAGCCATCTGGACCATCTAGTGTTTAATTAACATTCCGCAGATTGCATGATGTGTGGTTTTCTTTCTGTTGGGCAATGATGGCATTTTGCTGAATCAGGAAAAAAATGCAATTTTGAGTTTGCTTGAGAAAAAGTAATACTTCCCAACATATAAGGGCGTTTTAGCATGATGCTAAGTCTGTGTCTGGAGTTCTTTCTTTTGATTAATGAGAAGTGCTTCCAGTCACCTATTTACCTAGGAGTTAGGAAATAAAATAAATTAAATTGTTCCCTACGCCTAGAAGACAAGTTGGAATTATTCTTCATCACATCACAGAACTAGATTATCATGACACATCTGTAAACACAATTCGATGATTTCTCTATCTTAAAAAAAATCCTGTAGCCTCAAAATCAAGCCTTCCATATGAATCAGGAAATTCTCATCATAGGATGCATTTCTGAGAGAGGAAGTCAGGACTCTAACAATATAGTTGTCGGCAGAGAATTGTCTGACTTTGATATACACAGCATCTGAAGCCGTAGCATGGAGGTTGAACCCTTACATCGTTATTCCATACATACCAAACCTATTTGCTCATTTTTGTAATCATTCACGGAACACAGAAACCATCACAGGTGAATAAGTCCAGGAGGGCAAATTGTGCTTCTTATGGCTATAAGGGATGTAGTGCTCAGTAGAGTGGAATTACTTTTTCAGCAAAATAAATCAGAGGGCTTCTAAAATTTTTTAAACCTAGAATCATGAGTGATGTTTACATTTCTTTTTGGTTTCTAGTTTTACATCCAACATATGGAGAGTAAAAAATATCCAAACCTGTTCTAGAAATGAAAGGCAAAAGCTGTCTTACAATTTGATGTGCCTCAAGTAGTCTGATACCAGAGATTATAAATCTACCTTTTGTTGTATCAATCTTTCTGATGAGCATGTTTTAAAACTGCATACAAAATAGTTCAATCAAAACTGTCACTTGTGTAACTATTGTCTAGTAATGTAAACTTCCTATTGTAGAATAAATGTGAATACTAATATGAATTTAAATATAAGAAACTTCTCTTATAGATCTGGAATGAATTCATCTTATAGATAACAGGATACATGATGTAGCATTAATCAAGATAGAGTTACTCAGTGTGGGTGGCAGCAATTATCTGCCTATCACTGCTCTGCCATAATAATAGAGCAGAAATTGCCAATTTTTGCTAAGAGGAAATGCAGATGGATGAATTGATATTGACTGATCTTAGATTTCAAGATGGTTGTTACTCCGTATCAGTGTCAGGGTCATGGGCAGACTGATGTACACATACATGCCCAACAACTTTACAGGAAACATTCTCCAACCCCAACCATTAGGAGCAGCCATCTCTAACAAAGAAATGTTAATTACTGCTCTATATTATATCTATTTTATTTTTTAAAAGATTTTCAAATGGTTATTTATAGCTCACATGCAAGGGCTATTTAAACAAACGCTTGCATTTTAATTACACAAGTTCAGAGTTCTATGTTGTATTTTTTTAAATCTTCAGAGATATATGATGCTGGTGGGTTTCAAAGGTACAAACTAATCCACACAGTTGGGGTGCTATGTGCCATCCAAAGATCATGAAATTAATGAGGTCAACTTTAAAGGGGCTACATTTTCCTCAACTGGTTTGATTTGAGCAAAAGGGACTCATTTTCATGCAGTCTTAACCATTTTTATTAGAGCTATTTAATTTTATGTCACTGGTCCAACGAGTTTCCTAAAAGTCAGGGGAAATCTCCTATATTTGTCTATATCTCTTTTTCTCTCTCTCCCTCCCTTTCTCTTTTGTTCTTTCTATATTGAAATTGAGGATCTGATTTCTTGATAATTTAGGATTATATATAATCCCTTTCCTACTAGAACACTCAAAGATTTAGGGTGAGTTTTGCATCTTGAAATCAGCGTGAACAGAAATGTAAACTTTGTGTACATCTCTAGGTGTTAATCAGTTTCCAAAACTTATTTTAGAAGCTCCTACTAAGTGCACATAAAATTTTCAACTCTCTCAATATTAAACAATAAAAAAATAAAACGATTATTTCTGCCTTAGGTATCAAAAGACATGGGTTTTAAGTTCATTTCCATGAATTAGAAGAGAAGATTGTTTCAATTCTCTTATTATTAATGTTGAGCTAGTCCCCCAGGAAGGTCTAAAGAAGTGATTAGTTAGAAAGCCATTTGGAACATATAAAGAAATATACATTTGTTACAAATATTTTTATTACTACTACTACTAATAATGATAATAAAAAAGTACGTCATCATCCTCATGGCCTTTCCCTTGTGTTTGTTCTTTGCCTGTCATTATTCTACTGCTAAAATCAACAAAAAGTGTTTTGACACCTACTATAATTCTGGGCACTGGGAAATAAAGTAGATGACATTGTTCTTACCCTGAGGTAAATCTAATTGGCAAGCTAAAATACACACATACGTACACAAACTGTAACCGAACTTAACAGGTCCGTCTCTTGGTGAGTGCAGAGACGAAAAGTATAACCAAGGCTGAAGTGGGTGAAGAAAAAAGGTTTATTGCTTGGACAAGCAATGGAGAACACTGGGGATAGCTCCCAAAGCAGTGCGTGCCCTGAGCTTAGCGCAGGTGGATGTTTTATATACCAGAGTGCAGAGGATATGTTACAACTGTGTAACAACTGGGCCTAATCAGGGCACACGTGTAGGCCATTGCATAACGAGTTCAATGCCATTACATAATGAATATCAGTCATTCATTGTAACACACTATTACATAACAGGTCCAAGGTAACTTTTGGATGCTTAGAGCTAGAGCAATTTGCACTCTGCTACAACCATGTAAGTTTCACTGTAAGATTGCAACATCTACAAAAAGAGGACATCATCTGAAAAACAGCATGTTTCGTTTTGTCCTTGTCTGGAAAACATTTGACAGACTACGTTTACTTATGGATCAGATTTTCATTAACCCTTTTCTTGCCTGGTTTTGTGATCAAAAATCACAATTAATATATCTTATATTGTATAGGACAGACACTGAGTGTCACATGAGGGAAAGAACATTTTTAGCTGAGTAACTGGGGAAAATTTCTCAAGAGGTAACTTTATGGCTGGCCTTGAAGTTTAGGTGGAATTTCATTAAGTATGGAGTCGTGCGTGTATATGTATTGTGTGATGGTGGGAGAGAGGGGGTGTTTTATTCCAGGAAGAGGAACAGTGGCATCAAATGTACTAGACTGTGCAAATCATTTCAAGAGGACAACAAGGAGAAAGACTGGCTGTTCCAGGGAGTATTGAGCTATACCCAAGTGAAGAAATGTGGATTTTTATTTACTAATTAACTAGAAATGTAGAAAGATTTTTGTATGACAGAATAGTGAAGGCAAAGTACAATTCTTAGATGTTTAATCTCACAGTATTATAAAGAATGAATTAGAGGGACAGGGACCAAACTTTGACTTGCAGTAGACTAAACAAAAGGTGGTTAGGACCTGGACCAGAATGATAGCAATACAAACAGGAAGGCAAGGACCAGGAGAGATGTTTTATTTCGAAGGCACTTGATAATGGCTGGATATACAGTGAGGTTGTGAGGCTGAAGGAAAAGACAAAGATGTCATGACTTAAAGGCTGGATGCCAGAAAAAATGCTCTACTACTTATTAATTTATTTTAAAAAGTGGATTCTTTTAACAAATATTTATTGAGGGTATACTATTTGCTATACGCTATGCAGGTCCACGGTAGTTCAATGGAGTTTGTGATCTTCAGAAGAAGATAGATAGATATTAAATAAATAATATATAAATATATTAATTGTATGTATTTATAGAATAAATATTCTAAATATATGGGCAAATATACATATATGTTGTGTATGTATATTATATTATACATATACGTTGCGTATGTATATTATATTATACATATACGTTGCGTATGTATATTATATTATACATATACGTTGCGTATGTATATTATATTATACATATATGTTGCGTATGTATATTATATTATACATATAGTCTTGTATATACACCTAACTCTTGAGATGAAGATTGACATTAATCAAATAACCACTATATTACAGTCGTCCCTTAGTATCCATGGGGGTTTGATTCCT